GTCAATTGCAGGATCGGTCGCGCACTAAAGAAATCGCCTTCTCGGGACTTACTATTGAAAAAGTATCCTACTCTGAGAGAAATCATAGGTTAGTCTGATATAAATCCCTCGCTCACCTTAATTTTCTTCCTGCATCAACAAATAAGCAGATCTGACGAAAAAGGTTTTTGTTGATCCTCTAAATTTGTTTTATTGTTTTTGTTCATATCTAGCTGTGATTTAATATTTCATCACTGAAACATCCTTGGGGTTTTTGAAAACAGCTTTCTCGTACTTCTACGATGATTTAGGCAAAGTCATCCGATTATTAGAGTGCTTTCGGTTTTTTTGGATTCCGTCAACAAAAGCGTGTAAGTAGCCCATGTTGCTGATGTTTTGGAACCCAGAAACTGCGAAATTAGAGCAGGGAAGGACCACTGTGGTTGTTTTTGAAGGAAATGTTCGAAGGAAAAGTGGACGAGCTCAATGTTCACATGATGGTCATCGGCTTCAGCTTCACCTGCTTCAATTGAAAAAAGTAGCTGTTGGGATTTATATTGTAACAGGAGCATCTATCCCTAATGACTGAATTTTTTTAGTCAAAAAATCTCGTACCTGCTCGTCGCTTACATCTTGCAGAAGGCCTCGTTAGGAAGTAGCTCATATTATTCTATTCGGGGTGCAAGATGTGAATGCTTGTAGGGAAATCTGTGAGCGCTCGAAATATGAAATTATGACCATGTTGCATTTCATCGTCAGTTTTGTAATGTTAATCAAAGGAGGCATGCCTATTGTTATTTCAGATCAGTGTGGAGGGTCCAAGAATAAAAATGCTCAGCCCCCAGCTGGTCGAGAAACTGTGAAACCAAAAGAAAATCCGAATTCGAAAAAAGATAAGGACAAATTCAAAGAAGAAGAAAGGTTAATCAAGGGAGATATGCCTATTATTATTTCAGATCGATGTGGTAAACCTCCAGATGATCGTGGAACCGTGCAACCGAAAGAAAACTCAAATTTGCCGAAAGATGAGGATTGCGTCGAAAAAGAAGAGTGGCTAAGCGAGGAACAAGCGAAAGAACTTCTCAATCGCCTGTCAAAAGAAATGTTTGGAGAAAAAACGGAAAAAGTCAAGAAATGTACCGTGGTCAGTATATTGGATTGAACAGAATGTTCAGAGCTGATTTCAATTTTGTAATCTTAATTATCAGAGCAGTAGAAAATAGCATTTTCTGCAAACTGTGGTAACTTCAGAAAAGGCCAAAAAATCCAACTGCGAAAAGCACTGTGGAAGAAATGAAAAGGGATCCTGGCGTTCGTGATTTCGTGTACAAGGTAAGAAAATTTCGTAACCAAAATCCTTATGTTTTGTAACATATATTCATCCAATTTTAGGTGATCGGTTATATGGAAAAGTATCGAAATAGGCATAAAAAACCAAATCTGAGATGGTATGCTGTATGACGGTTCCAGTGTTTACTGCCTCTCTCATATCTTCAGTTGCAGTATCATTCAATCACTAAAGAAATCGCCTTCTCAGGGTTTGCTGGTGAAAAAATATCCTTCTTTAAAAGAGATTAGATGTAAGTCTGGTGTTCATACTTCACTTTTGTGATATTTCTCAGGAAAAGTAATCGGTGAGTTTCGAAAGAACATCCTCTGCATGGCATCCTGGAAAAAGATTGGAAGCGATTTCAAAGTTTCTTTCAATAGAATTGACAATAAGTGATGTTTCAGGTCGGCTTAAAAAAGAGCGTGCTGTTTATAAAGGCATTCTCAATCGTTTGTCAAAAGAAATGTTTGGAGTAAATTTGGAAAAAGTCAACAAATGTACCGTGGTCAGTACAGAGGATCGATCCTAGTGTTTACAGTTGATCTCAATTTTGGTGTACATTGTACAGGATTTGATAGCACCGAGAAATCAGTAATCCCAATTATTAGGATATGAATAGTGAAAAAATACAATTTTCTACAAATCGTGGTACTTCAGAAGAGGCCAAAAAATCCAACTGCGAAAGGCACTGTGAAAGAAATGAATAGGGACCCCAGCGTTCGTGGTTTCGTGTACAAGGTAACAAAATTTTGTAAAGAAATCCATATGTCCTGTAATTTATACTCTTTCAATTTTAGGTGATTGATTTGATGATAAAGGAGCGAAATCGATATCCATATCTGGCTCTTGTAGGGTATAGTCTATGACGGTTCTAATTCATATGCTTCTCTCGTATCGTCAATTGCAGGATCGGTCGCGCACTAAAGAAATCGCCTTCTCGGGACTTACTATTGAAAAAGTATCCTGCTCTGAAAGAAGTCATAGGTTAGCCTGATATAAGTCCCTCGCCCACTTCAATGTTCACCCTTCATCAACAGTTAAGCAGTTCTAGAAAAGATTTTGTGAATCCTATACTTTTGTTTTTTGTTCATTTCTGGTTGATTCTCTATATATAAAGCGCTAACCTTGTGTGTCCGTTTGTATGCCCGTTTGTGTGTCCTCCCAAATGTCACGTGGGCACGATCAAGAGCGTGAAGTTCACAGGAGCGCGATGAGAAACAGGTATGAAATGGAAAGTCAACCGATGCTCTTTATATTGGACCGTCGATTAATATCCAGTCCAGGCATGACGTCACAGGCTGATAATCAGAAACCGCCTCAGGACAATCAAACCTCTAGAAACTCGAGAAGGTCAGAATGGAAACAATTCCACGACCACCTGCTAGTGTCAAGAGATCAATACCCCCCACAAAGCGGCACCAGATCGTTCAAATTGGAGAATATCACCTAATGGGGAAGCGGTTAGGAAAGGGAAGTCAACCGATACTGTTTATGTTCGTTCTCTAACAAATCGTAGGTAGTGGGCATGGAATGGTGCACGCGTTAGTGTGCATAGCCCAACTGGTAACTTAATATTTCATCACGAAAACACACGACCTTCGGGTTTTTGAAATCAATTTTTTCGTATTTCTACGATGGTTTGGGAAACTCGACCTATTATTACAGCGATTTCGATTTTTTGGATTCCGTCCTAACAAAAAGTGTGTGAGTAGCTTATAATTCCGATGCTTGTGGAACCCCGAAACTGTAAAACCCTAAATTGCAAAATAGGGCAGAGAGAAACCATTCAGGTCCTTTTTTTCAAAGGAAATGTTTGAAAGAAACGTGGACGAGCTCAATGATCAGATGATGGTGGTCATCGGCCTCGGCTTCACCTGCTTCAGTTGAAAATTGAAAAATATCCTAGCAGTTGGGATTTATCTTGTAATAGGAGCATGTGTCCCTGATGACGGAATAATTTTATAGTCAAACAAATTTCATACTGGCTCGTCGCCTCCGTCTTGCGGAAGGCCTCGATTAGGGAGTAGCTCATAGTATTTTGTCTGGAGTACAAGAAGCTATTGCTTGTAGGGAAATCTGTGAGCCCGAGAAACATGAAATTATGACCGTGTTGCATATCATCGTCAAAATTTGGAATGTTAATCAAAGGAGGCATGCCTGTTGTTGTTTCAGGTCTGGTTGGAGGATCCAAGAGTAAAACAACTCAACCCCCACCGGATCGAAAAACCGTGGAACCAAAAGAAAATTCGAATTCGCACGAAGATAAGGATGACTTCGAAGAAGAAG